TCAAGGGCCTTTTCTGCCAGACTGTTTAGCTGAAAATAGTTTAAATCGTTGTTATTTAGATGGTTTAAGTGACCACATAATTCTTGCAGCCTCAGAAAGCTAAATGCTCAAAGCTAGATTCTGCAAAATAGAGTGTGTATGTATACGAAGTGTTCACTCCTAGGTATATTTTGAGGAAGTATAAAAGCCCAAAAAGGAGGCAAAATTTGAAAGGAAATTAAAAATGGCAAACTTCTTTTTGAATTTGTTCATGTAGGGGCACAATCACTGGATTAATAATGTTATTCAGGTAGTATGGGCCTCCCTTAAACCTGTCTGGAATTGAGTGGCATTCATCATCCGGTTTCTCAGGGCATTTTTCACAATGTAGCGGTCATTAGCATAGGATGTGGCCAGTGGATGCCCACTTCTACATCTTTCTGTGACTCTTCCAGTATCTGTCTTGCAACCTACTGATGATACTGTGACATTCTAAGCTCAGCGGCCACTTCCATCTGAGAACGTCCTGTTTAAAGCATCACAATGGCAAGGTACCGTTGATCCATTGTTAGGTGTCGTCTTGGTCTCATGATGTCAAAATGTGAACAGTGTGATGAGGACGACTGTTTAAACACTAGCTCTAATTGAACCTGGACATTTATTGATCGCTTCAAAGGGTCATATATCTGTTGTGAATTTTGTCATTAAGCTCCTCGTTAGAGAACAGCAACTTGTGCAAAAAGTACTGAAACATTTAACAGTTGGATATGTGCATTCAAAAAGTTCACATTAAGCTCACCTTGAATGCATTTTAGGCTCGTCCTGAAGTTTCACTTGAAAGTCAAATATCCCTAAAAGTATGACCCCTGTAAATGTGCAAAAAAGGGCCAAAACTGGACTTTCAAAAATTCATAGTTCACTTTTTGTTCATTTTCAATTATGGCTGCAATTGACTTTTTTGAACGTCTTGGGGTGTTACATGTGTCTGCCAATTTTTGTAGGTGTTGGTCAAACGTACTGGGATTTTCTTTCCACTCTAGATGGCGCTGCTGAGCCATTTTGTTTCATGACAACTCTAAAATATCACATTTTTCATCAGGGCTGATGAGTGTGCAGTTTGAGTTTTTGTGCTTGTTTAGGTCCCCCCAAATGTTATTTTATTTGCGAAAAATAAACACAAAAACAAAATGATGATAATCATAATAATAGTAATAATAAATTATCCAAAGACAATTGGGACCTTCCTGCGTGGGCCCTAATAAAATACATCATACTCACCGGAGATGATGATTATTAAATTTATTCACACGTGGAGCTTGCTACAGACGTGTTTTGCTTGTCATGCTACCCATGTAAGGCAAATTCAAAATTTGCTTCGTTAATGAAACAGTCACATTTGTACAAAGTACTAATATGGTTTAGGTTGCATGACCCAGCACTGCTGTACTGATTCTGAAGGCTCTGGGCAGTTAAGATTAACATGGCAACCCATACAGGATGTACTGTATGGTTGGACAAAAAAAAAATAGTTTAAATGGTTGCAGAACTGCAACATCAAACTAATATTTTCGTTGCAATGGTTATCTTTGTAACATCACCATTTTAGGCATACTGTAATATGTATATTGGATCTTAATGGTCTGGTACTGCTGTAACTAATGTTGTTGTGAGTGCAAATCTTTTCATCCTTAATACAGTCAGTGGCCCATTCATGAATTCATGTTTCCCACTGTGGTTTGTGTTGGAGTGGTTGTCTCTGGTTCACAAAAATACTGAACAGCCAGGCTGTGTCAGAACTGAAAGGGGAAGGTTAGGGCAGGGTCTTTGCGCTATATGGGATACGTGCATGGAACCATGGTTGACACTGAGTCGCGTCACTTTTTCAAAGAGCTCAAAATGTTACTTATCATAGATATGCCTTCTGTATACAGTACACCACTGGTATTCATTCTTTTCGAATGCTTCTCGTGGTGCATATTCCGCTTACAGTGTGATATCACACGTCCCCTTGTGAAGCCGCAACAAATGCACGGTAATCCCCAACTGTCGACAGCAGGTTGAACAAGTTATTGTGTTACTGGAACTATTTTGTAGGTCTAATGCTCTTTGTAATGTTTTTTATTTGACAGGTTGATTTTAAGCAAAGGTCAGTTTGGCCACTTCAAGGTCAACGACACATTGAAATAATTGTTCGCAAAAGACTATCAGAGTTCGTATTCAGCGGGACCGTCAGGTGAATAAAATTGCCCTTGTCGTGTACAAAAGCAGTTGTCATCTGACCCCTATTAAATGACCGTATTATTGTGACCACGGAGATAGTTTTGTCATTCACTACAAATGGTGAAAAAAACGTTACCAAAAAAATGAAGAAAGACACATCAGCAACTTCATTTGCTACACTTTTAAAATCAAACATTTCATTAATTCTGCCTTTTTTTAACAAGACTGTTTTGATTAACTGGAGTTATTCTTTGAACAGAGTGTTGAATATTGCACTTGTATTGAACAAAAGTATGTACATTATACCTCACTCAATCAAAGATAAGCTGTCAACATTGTGGACTGTACCAAATGTTGTTGGCAATCAATTTATTTACATATTTCTGAAAGCCTTTTGTCGTTTTCCAAATATAAAGAGAATTAATATTTACAGTATGACTCTTGAATGTAATCGCATTTCCATAAGCAGATTTTCTGTCACACAATGTTTTTCCCTTTCTGGAGGCTGAGCTCTGTAACTTGAATAGACTGGTTACGCACACGATCGTGTCCAGTGGATTTAGCAAGTTTATTCAAATCCAAGATGTAAACATCAGCCCGGATTTGATACATAATCACTTACAGCCTGTTAATACTGTCAATCCACCACAGACAGATGGTGCTTTTAAGAGGTCAGTGATTAATATGCACACATATTCGAGTTGCAGTCAAGTGATAGTTGACAAAGTTCCTCATTAACTGCCAGTCGCACCCCACCCATGCCTCTCCTGTCAAGCGTGTTCAGCCACAGTAACTAGACACTGTCTTGTGTCCATGTCAAGTCACTCTATACATACTGTACGTGCCAAAACAGCAAGCCGGTGTGGTTCATTTATTTTTTCTTTCTGTATCACACATAAAATTTCATTCTGCTCTTCTGCATACTGATTTTGTCTGAGACATTGAGACGATTTGCAAGCATAACAACCTTTTGCACGTGTTCATATGTCGTATATTCTGTCTAGCCGCAAATGTACACATTGCATGGGAGACGTAAATAGCAAATAACTAAATCAAGTCACACCTCAAAGACGTCATGTCAGTGTCACGTCCAACTAGTTTTCATCAATAAGTTAAGTCACAAATTAGTCTCCTATTTTCGTCTGACTCGTCCTGTTTACATTTTTACGACCTAACAAAGTTGTGTGAAGAGTACAGGAAGACGTTTCACATGTGTGGCCATGTGCTGTGGAGCTTCAGGCCACTTTTGAAACATGTTTTTAATCCTGTTTTTCGGAATTCATTGACTCGGTCTACATGCTCCCCCTTGTGGATAAATAATAAACCTCCCCATAAAGAGAGGGGCTTAAGAAATGTAAGCTTTTACAGTGAATAAGTGGGGAAACGCCGCTAAATTTCTCTTGTTTATCAAATCCCTGACAACAAGTCTTTCTTATTTGTTTACATTTACGACCACAGTTTGATCCCCGCTGACCAATCAGGCTGTTTGCAGATGGGCAGCAAGAGGGATGGCAGGAATTAGGCTGCACAGGATTAGTTCCTGAGCTCCGATTGTCCATTGGCTGTTGAGACATTGTCCACTTTGAATGGAATGGACAAAAACAACTTTTCAAAAACAACACGCATCATAATTTTGCCCTAATCGGGCAGTCTGTTGAAATTACATGTGGATTTTTGCCTAGTTTTGGTCAAGACATTTTGTTTTACCAAATTCTGTCGCACTTTTGGATCTTTGACGGGCTATAAAAGAAGTCATGGTGGTGCTTTTGACTAATGACTTGAGCTCAAGTTTCTACTGTTTTCCCAAGGTCAAGAAGAAAGGTAAGTGAAGGCAGCACATCGATTATTATCCGTTCAATCAAGCAGATTGGTTTATGTACGTAATGAGACCAGGACTGCTTCATGAAAACCAGTTCACTGTGGATCACACGTCCCCCTGTAACATGCTAATGTGAGAAAAGCATACTGCAATAGTAACATTATAGATAGGAAATTTCTAATTGCTGTTACAAAAGAGTGCTGACAAACAAGAGTTAAGCATGCGGCCGCTAAGGCTAATACGCACATGGCCTTCCAGTGACTGTGTGGCAAATTGAGGACAGTAGGTGGCTAAATGTAGAGCGGCTGTCAGCATTACATAAAAGTGTCTTAGCAGGTCCCACCGGAGTTGCATCACATGGCCCACATATTGAAGTGACTGTATGGTGAACAAGATCAAAAATTTCAGTACCTGATATGTTAGGTAAAGAAAATAAGGGCAATGTACAGCAACATGGAAATCAGTGATGATCGAAGTGCGAGAATGCGAGACATTCATTGGCCCGACGAAGTGGTTCTTCAGGTTTCTGTCTTGTTTGAAGTTCGCATGTGACTGAAAGTCATTTGTATCTCAAATCAGGTTGTCTTTTTCTGGACTGAATCCACAGTCATGAGACCTTATTGCTGCTGTCCCTGAATTACTTCAGCAAGGAAAAGTATAATATGACACATGGACAATTTAATGTGACGGTGTTTTACCTTTTCACTGTCTAATGAGATTCGGTCCAAAAGAATGTGTAAATCCCATCATTAATTATAGAAAAGTCGATTTAAAAAATATATATTATTTGATAATCCTTCTTGGCGTTTATGTCAAAGGCAAAGTTTAATCCTGCATTCAAGAGTGAAACTAAGGTTTTAATCTCATAGATTTTCTGTCTGCTGTTTGCTTCTTTGGGTACAGATGGGCAGCTAATCTGCTGTTAGAGTAACAATGTACTTTGCTAATCACCTCGCCTCGCTTTCTTGTTCTCTCTTTCAAGCTGCGCTAAATCTGCATGATGACAAGACCCCGCCTCCTCCGCTGCTCCAGGAGAACGTGTTCATCGAGGCCAGCAGGCCCAAGTACCTTGAGGACCTTCACAGTGAGGCCTTGGAAGGCTTGAAAATGATGCAGCAGGAAGGTAAAATGTTGTTGTAGTCCCGAAGAGGCAGTACATGCCATAAGTCTGTGGTTCAAAAGCGTGACATTGCAAAAGGGCAGATGTGAATGTCGCTTTTTTTGCAGATAACGCTGGACTGGAGTTCCAAGATGATGAAAGCACAATTGTAAGTTATTCTGCAACCTAATTTTCTCTATTTCTTGGGTAATTTTAGTTTCCGAAAATGAACTGTTATCATATACCCCTGTCAGTCGACAATGACGGCCCAGACAGACGGGGAGGGTGGAGGGTTTACGACTGACAGCACCATTCCTGACGCATCCTCTGTTGCCTCGATGAAATCGTCTGTGTCCACGAGATCCTCCCGCTCTGGTCTCACCAGGCAAGGTAACTGCAAAATAAGACGCAATGTTCAATTCCTCGCAATCAATGACAATTTTATCGTAATGGGTGATGGGTGGTGGGAGGAGGGGGAAGTTGGACACATTGCTAAATGTTTATAGTCGGCCTCAATTTTCACACCGAATTTACTTTCAATATGTTTTTGTATTTGTCGGACAATGTCAAGAGACTGTTCTTGCCTCTCTCTGTTTGACCAGGATCAACATTCAGGCCTTTAAACTCTGGGAAGCAAGCAGAAAAAGGCAGGACACGAAGACGACACAGGAAGACTGCGGCAAGCATCCCTCGGCATGTCCAGCGAGAATTCGGTATGGAGCGTATGTTTGAAATTTATCACAGACGACAGATTATTGGCCACATTGATTCAAACAATAGCAGGTCTTCCTTTATCTTTGCTGGTCGTGTAATGGGTGCAGAAACTTTTGATTTTAGCAAACCCATTTTTTTTTCCAAATTCAAATCACTTGTCAATACACCCTTAGGTAGATAAGAAAAGAATAACTTGGTTGTTTAATTTTACACCTGCTACATAACAACCAGCGACATAACAATATGTGTAGGCAAAAAAACGATAGTTTCATCAGAGCGTGGTGATGGTTTAATGCCAAGATGATTTGCACCATAGATGTCCCTCAGAACGTGTGTTGATGACTTTTCCATCCATCAGGTTTGGATAGAGTTGGCCGGACAACGTCTTCAAAGTTAGATGAGGAGGAGCATTTCAACAGTGTGAGTGACGGCGAGCACCTCGAAGCTAATGAGACCGGCCAAAACCGGATCCATCCCATCAACCAAAACAAAGTTGAGCAGAATTGTGCTGGTCAGATCGATGACCTGGCCGTGCTGCACCAACTGGGCCCGGACTTGCTGGATGGGGAGAGGCCTCGGTCATTGGCCGTTGCCTCAATGACCACCGCCAACAGCCACCAGCAGGAAATGCCCTCCCCGGTCATGTCAATGTCACCCCAGGCTGCTTATATGTCTAAAATCATCCCCAATGCTGTGCTGCCGCCATCGATTGAAGTGGTGGAGATCAGCCGAGGCCAGAGCCGCAACAGCCTCCGCACTGTCAGCAAGAGCAGCCTTCTTCTGTCCAGCCCTTCGCCATCCCGTAGCTCCTCTAGAGGTTCCAAAATCAGCTCAGCCTACCACCACAACCCCTACCACCTGTCAGACGCTTCAGGTTGGAGCCACTCCGAGTCCTCAGAGACTTTGGTGTCAGACTCTTCAACCATCTCCAGCGGCAATATCTCGAGAAAGGCGTCCTCGCAAGACAAAGATGCCGATTCCATCAAAATCATCATCAATGGCAAGCTCATTAGCAAGGCACGTGACGCTACGCGAGAGGGACCCTTTGCGCGTAGCCTCTCTGTTATGAAGGCCAAAAGGGCACCGGCGCCCCCAAGCCGCTCCTATTCTCTGCACAACAAGATGAAGCGGCGGTCACGAGATTTAGCAGAGGTGGTGGTCATTTCAAAGGAGCCCTCTCCTCAAAGCGGCACAGCTCTAGGTGGGGGGACTGATGTGCCTGAAGCGTCCCCCGTGAGGACCATTGATAGCCCCGGCTACAACGGGGACACCAGCTCTCTGGATGACTCAACGGGCTCTGTGATATTCCGTATGGCAAAAACACCAGAGGCCAGTGACTCAGCTCAGGTGGGAAAAACTGTTTCTTCTTCACAACAAAAGTGGGAATCATCACAGGGGAATAAAGTAAGCAAAATAACCTCCCCATCCAGCGGCTACTCCAGCCAAGACTGCATGTCCCCACAGCTTCATCCTTGCACCTCCTCACCAAAACACAAAGGCGGAATTCTCGCAAAGCTGCAAAGGTTATTTCCTGGTGCCTCATCTCCACCCCGCCTTACACATTTGGAAACAAATGAAAACACAAGATCCACCCAGGACCCAAAGTCAGAGAAAATAGATTGTGAAAGTGTCAGCCCCTCTGTGAGGACCTTGAGAGAACTCTTTGACATCCCTCCACACCCGAAGGTCCATGCACCTCCAGCCCCTCCTCCCGAGGTTTGGGCTCACAACAAACGCACCTTTGAGTTGCTTCTGGGACCCCCAGCTCCAGACAACGTCTATGCCATCATCAAAAAGAATCCGAAAGACAGGAGACAGCAGAGGTCATCTGCATCCGTGTCGACAGAGGGCTCAGTGAAAAGTTTGACTGGAGAACGAAAACCGAAAAGTCTACCGGCGACCGTGGAGTCGACGAATGGAGTTGCGTTAGGGACACAGAAGGTTCAAGAAAGTGCACTTTTGAATGTGAATGAGGTTCACAAAACCAGCAATGAAAGACTGATTCAGAATGTAGCTTCAGAAGGAAATGGCAAAGTGAAACAGAACGATGAGAATGTACGTGTAAGTGATATATTGAATGGAATGTTGGTGAAGGCGATAGAGAAACGAGAAGAAAGGTTGGCCATGAAGAGTGACGTGGGCAAAAATCCACCCGCGCAAGCTCCAGAAGTAACGACTAAAGCGGATATCAAACATGCCATTTCATTAACACGCGTAACTCCGTCCCCTTCTCCTCCTCCGGCACACTTCCCCCCGGAGCCCCCCGGCAAACAGACCACGCAGGTAAACAAAGCAGCGTCCCCTGATTCATCCTGGCCCCCACCACCTCCACCAATAGTACAAGTGGTGGGTGCGCCTGATGAGTTAGATTTCCCCCTTCCGCCTCCACCTTTAATTAGTGGAGACGGGTTAGTTGCAGCCGTTCCGACGTCGCCGCCAAGGTCCGTATCTGCTTCAGGAACAATCACAGGAGGTCACTCATACTGCACACCTCCGATAATTATGGTGACCACGGAACCTGAACCAGAGGGTTCTGTCACATCACATGGGGTTGCACCTCCAGCTCAATTGAATATACCCCCTCCACCAGCCTACGCAGCCCCCCCTCCACCAATGACAGCCGCCATCCCTATGAGAATGACAGAAGGCATTAATTCTCCACCTATAGAGGTCTCTCCTTCGATAACTCAACAGGTTTCTCCACCGCCCCCAGATGTCATTCCAACTGTGTTAACTAGAGAGTCTGTCCCAGCACCGGTTCAAGTACAGCCTCCTCAGATAACAAAATGCATCCCTCCACCTTTGGTCAATGTTAAAGAAGATCCCCCAGCAGGAAGTCAGCACCTCCTTCCGCCTCCAGAAAGGGGCTCAGCTCTTTGTTCTGAAGACGCTGTTTCTCCATCTTGTCAAGAAAGTCATTCACAGACACCGGAAGAAGAAACCCCGGCTTCCAAACTCTATCCGCCACAAAGTATTCCTCCGCCGCCACCAATTAAATCCCTAAAACCAGAGTCAGAGGTCATCCTTGAACAAAAGAGCGTCTCATCTGAATCTCAAAATAAGCTGCTTTCACGTAACGGTATTTTTACTCCCCCACAAAGTATTCCGCCTCCAACTCTCTTACACCTTCTCCTTTCAAGTAAGCTTGCAGTACCAAACACTGATGGGCTCCATGCTAAGGAGGCCCCCAGTTCACCACCAAGCGACACTTCCAGCCCATCAAATTTTGACATCTCTACGTCACCAGAGAGGCCCGAGGACCCGCAGTCATCGCCACCTGGAAGCATTCCTGTGCCACCACCTCTTCCTGTTGGGGGTCTTCACAGTCATTCGCACCAGACAAATATTGCAAGCACAGAGAACGAAACCCCTCAACCTTCTTCTGATCATGTTCAGGAGGAACCCATCCCTGTGGTCACCCCTTCCCTTCTGCAGATGGTCAAATTGCGGCCCGTTAACAACAGCCCCGAATCTCCTGTGGCACAGGAACAAGCTCAAGCTGTGGACGTTTTGACAAACCAGCAAGCCAGCAACCCGATGCCAGCCCCCCAACTCATGAATGAGGCCCCGCAGAAGCCCATTAGGAGATCTCTGATCATATCCTCTCCAACATCCACGTCTCCACCTGCCGTTGTCACCTCCGTGCTATCCCCGCCCCAGCCCCAGTCTGTTGTTATTGTTGCTCCACCTCCACCTCCACTTTCACCTACAGCCCTCAAGTCTCCAGCAATGCCCACCTCTCCTCTCCCCTCCATGAACCTACAAGAGGCCATCCGCCTGCGGACAGCTGCCAGATCAAAAGACAGCTCTGCACTTCGCCTCAGCTTGCAATCACCCACGTCCCCGAAAGACCACAGTCGGTCTCCAACCAGCACGGCAAGCTTTATCTTCTCCAAGAACAAGAGAGTGGTGATAGACACCAAAAAACCCTTACAGAAAACCCAAGACATTTCGAGCAAGGTGGTCGAGGAGGTGGAGTTGGCAAAGAAAGTCAAGATGCCACCACCTGTTGCAAAGAAACCCATAACAAAGGCCATAGATGTGGACAACGGCGATGGAATGGAGCAGACTGCAGGACAGCCAGCACAGACCGAGAGCATCATCGGTAAGAGTTAAAATATATATTTTTTTATTATCAATCAACACTTATGAACTCGTATTATTGTTGAGTTATCAATTGAGAATCAAGGGGGCGTGATCTCTCGCTGAATTGGAATACTGAACTGAGAGGGGAATGCAAAATGTTTTCGATGGATAATTAGGATTCGTACAGTGGTGCCTTGAGATAAGAGTATAATTCATTCCCTGACGATACTTGTCATTTGAAACACTTGTATCTCAGCTAATGTCTTCTTGCTGAAATGAATGGAAATGCCATTAACCCATTCTGTCTACAAATGATGCTGCACCGTTTCTGTTCAATCCATTATTTAAAGCAGGGGTAGGGAACTCCAGTTCCTCGAGCACCATACCCTGCCCGGTTTAGATTTCTCGGTACTTCAACGCACCCTATTCAAATGATCAGCTCATCATCAAGCTCTGTAGAGGCCTGAAACGATCATGAACAATTGAATCAGGTGTGTTGGAGTAAGGAGCGATCTAAAACAGGCAGGATTTGGCTTTTGAGAAACCAGAGTTAGCTACCCCTGGTTTAAAGCGTTATTGATGCTCTTTAATGTTGCCATGAAGCTAGTGGACTGAAAGACTGAACTATGTTGTTGTTGTTTTAAGGACACAGAGTGTAATTTTCTTTGTTCTGAGTTCAGTTTCACAGTAAACCTCAACTGGGAGTGGAAAGTGCATTTTTTGAAGCACTGTTCCTTATTAAGTGCTGCTTCATGAGGTTGCCTGAAATCCTACAGTGCTCGTCTTCTCAAGTCTGTGCTCACAAGTCAAAGCAAAAAGTTAATTGGAAAGCTCCTTCCTTGAAAAACAAAAACAAAAACAAAACTAGTCATTCTTTTCTCAAGGCACCACTGTATTAGATAAGTTACATTTCAATCATTTTGACGGTCACGATAATTAATCATCTCAAAGCTTCCTTATATTGTGTAATAGAAAAGCACTTTTTAAAATAAGAATAGCTAGTAAAAAAAAAACACAAATAATGTAAGTATTTTAAAATACGGAGTTAATTTTCAATCACTCTGTAGTTTTACCTTAGTTTCATCCAATAGGTCACCACAGTGCCCAAAACAGCACATTGACCAACTCTTCCTTTGTTCTCAACTTCAGATGCAGCAGAGGACTAAAATGGAGCAGGGAGGAGGAAAGACATGATCCCTTCAAACTGAAGACGAGACAGATTTTATTGCTAAGTTGTTGTAAAATGGGGAAAAAAAAAATCACTCTGATGCAAATGGTGTGGGTTGTGTGCACATTCAACAGTTTCGTAGATACAGCACGTTTTCCGCGCCACACCGTGTTCTGAGCTTTACTGATGATGCAAGACATTGAAATATGCTACCCTTGACTGTTTGATAATAATTGTGCCGCATACGTACAGTATGTCCTGCTGAATCAGTGCTTGTCGGAATTCTGACAATGGGACTTCAGGGCGCTCTTCTGTAAATATAGCGAATGTCGGGGAGTTCTGTAATTTACCAAAGATGTTTCCAAACACCATGTTTAAGAAAACAAATAAGTTATTTTTCAGAAAGAGGGTATCTACAACCTCTTTGCAAAGTTGTGTGAATCTCTATAATAATATGAATCAAGAGTTTGTGTTTCACTCTTACTCATATCGTGTTCTCTGTTCAACAATTCAAAAGGTTATCCTTTAATTTCAGGTCTTCTGTGTTCATGGCCTTTAATGTAGTTCAAGGTCAGTTAATAATCACTGTCAAGTAATAATGAAATTCCTTATTTAGAGCACAATTTGCTGTTATGGCTCAGTGGGATAATTCTGCTTTGAACCTTTTTTTTCCCCCACAGACTTTAAAAAGACGAGTGAAATAAATCATTTATAAAAGGTAAAAAATAAAGATTTATGGACACACGACATGTTCTTTCTTACTGCTGAGGACTCTGAATTTGATGCCTGCAACGTCATCATCAATCACCGCACATATAGGCAGCAAGGCTGAAAACCAACACTGGGTGCCCATGACCTTTGACCCCTGGAGTGACACTGCTTTAAAAACCGGTATATTGACGTGGGCTCGGGAGCACTTCAGCATACCGTTGTCATTTGTCACCATTGGACGCCCCATCTACAAGCCTAGGTTAAAAAAAAAAAAAAAAACTAACATGCAAGCAAAAGCCATATGTTTACCACATCATAATGCATGCCCAATTTTATTTTGAGATGGCAGTGTGTGAAGAGTAATGTATTCAGCTGTGGTAATATTACATCCATGTAAAATACCAAGTAGGCTCTTGATCATCTACCAGCTCATTTTTGTGCACGTCGGAGGATTGCATTCTTGTTGCCTCTTCAGTCCCATTCGAGTGGTTTCCTTCATCACCTTTGTCATGAAGTGGCGGCACATCTCTTGCTTCAGATTGAGAAAGAAGAGCAACCGGGTCACCGTCATGTCTTATATTTTCTTCTAGAATCACACTTTCTCTTCCAGAATCCTCCACATCGTCTTTTTCTTCTTCGTCATCATTCTTGAGAATGCCTGCATTTTGCCACAAGATGTCATCACTGTGCACATCGTGGAGGGGATTGTTCAGTCTTCTGACACGCAGTAAGCCTTCTTCTGCAACCAGCGGCTGATCTGAAACCATTAAGCCACTCCTTACGGACCCTTTGTAAATAAACAAAGCGTATGGATTAAAAACATTCAAAAACAAAAAAAACCCTGCGTACCTTCCATGCTTGTTCTCTTTGACTTAGAGTTCACACATTGTGAATCGCAGCACATGCAAATGGAATCATCTCCCGAAAGGGCCTTCCACCTAACAAAAGATGCACAAAAATATGCTCCGTCCACTCGGGGAAGACTGAACAATAAATTAATTTAGAGTTTAAGTCTCACCCATCCTCTCCATAAGTGCACGATTTCTGCGCTGGGCCTGGCTCTTTTGATGTGGCAAATAAGTTGCAGTAAATGCTGATCTGAAAACAAGACGACAGATGAAGTCAAATTTGACTTTAGGACAAAGGGGGCATGGCTGCTGAGTCTCACCTCACTGTCTGGGTCAAAAATGAACTGGAAGGCTTTGAATGAGAACCTCAGGGTCCCGTTAGCATGTGAGACGAATTGAGAGGCCCCTCCAGGGTCTCGCTTGCTGTCCATCATGCAACTACGGAGGGCGAAAATATGACATCACAAATGGAACACCAAGGAGAATAAAATGCATCGTCATGTACATAATCCATACCCCATATTGCCAATGATTGTGTACTTGTAGGACGATGAAGAGCCACCGCCTGGGGAAGCATAGCAGTCGCTGATGTACAGTCTCCTTCCAGCGGGCAGATGTGGAGCAGAGACTTGGACGTTAACCCTCTGACCAAGCTGGAAGACTTGATTTTTGACCGGATTGCGCCACGAATCTGAATTTGACACACAGTTTACTGTGACATAATGCAACGTAAAGCATCACCATACCCGTATGCTGTGTTTAGGCATACCATCCATAAGATGAATTTGGAACTCATTTGGATGGGCTCTCAGAGTTTTACGCACAAAGGTATTTGTCCAGGTGGGCTTGACTGCCAGTTGGTACACATGGTGGTACCTTGGCAAAGATAGCATGAGAAATTTGCAAGTCAGTTTTCTGATAACAAAATAAAATAAACATAAAACAGCATTTTTCTTCCTTAGATTAATTCAGTTCACCTGTTTATCTCTTAAGGGGATCATTTCACTTTCCGACAAGTTTTGTGTTGAATTTCTCGGTTGCACAAAAGGATCAACTCATACTGATTCCACATTCACATCAATATTTATGTCCCGCACTAGTGTTTCCCGATCTTTATTGAGCAAGCTACTTTTGTTTTCTTGGAATATAAATTACCTAGTGGGAAAGTTGGCGTCTAGCCAGCAGGAGAGCCGCCAGGAAATTTCTACTTAAGTACAGAGTGTTTTTACTTTTGTCACCTCTTCTTACCTTTGAAAACGACATTCAATATCGACGTCAATCCGAGGCGCTCCGCTTGGAAACCTTTCGGTTGAAGGTTCATAATGGAGAGTGAATTTATAGACAATGAAGTCCCGCTGCAACTGCCGTGGGAGGAGAGGGGGGGTTAAGTTATTCTATGGAAGCACAAAAAGTGTCCATAGCATAAGTACCTCTTTCCGGGATCCACACGCCGTCAGGGGATAGATGAAGAGCAGGTCTCCGAAGGGGCTCAGCGCACCGTTGCTTAGGCAGTTTGGGCCCAGTTGGAGCTCCGACTCATCCGCGCCGAATCCGTAGAAAGATGGCTTGACACGGACGACCAAATCGAACGCGGAGCAGGTCACAGAGACGTCCGGAAGGTATGTCAAGCCCAAGCGGGTGTTTCCTTTTGCGGTGTCGTGGTCAAGCAACCCGCGCGTAGGTTTGTTCACTTGGATTGTGCGAGGTTTGGATTTTGGCGTGCCCAGTTTGGTTAAATTATTTCGCTTTACGGAAGACGTTGAGCCGTCGGTACTTGTTTTGCAGCAGCCGAGGCCGAAAAGTAATGAAGCACAAAATAAAGAGTAAAAATGCCGAGTCATTGTCACGTTTGGTCTTTCCTCGCTAGGTGCACGTAAAACTACGTATGGTCACAGCTGGAGGTTATTAGAGGTGATACATTAAAAAGAAAAAAAAAAGATAAGAATTGGACAACCACATATGCGCCCACACGTTTATGTTTCAGGATATAACCCATCATATAATTCAAGTAATAGGCAACTGGGGGGCTCATTTTGTTAAAAAAAAAAAAGTATAAAATTCTGTGCTATAAATAATGAGACCCGTGTCACTTGATGAAGGGTCATATTTGCCGTGCCAACTGCCCCGCTTTTGATAAATAAAATTTCTATGAAACCAGTGATAAATAATGTTGAAGACCTTTTGTTTATTCCTGACAAAAGGCCAAAGACTCACTTTGCAATAGGGAATTTAAGTCCAAAGTAAAACACAAACAACTCACTCCGATTTAGGAGTCATTTGTAATAAATTAACAAAAGTGAAAAATAAAATTGACATCACTCTGAGTTTTAGTCTGTTTAAAATAAATTAAAATGCAAAATAATTTAGGTTTTACTGGTAACTTTGAAGTATGACACCATGAAGTTAGAAAATGGGGCTGAAAATGTGTCACAGTTTCAGTATTTCATATCAGCAGGTGTTGAAAAATATTGACATTACCCATTTAAAATAATAACTTAAAAAACAATATTTGGAGAGGGTGACTGGTAAGCACATCAGCCTCACAGTACAGAGATCCAGGGTTTGAATCTGGGCCCTGCCCTTCCAGCGTGGAGTTTGCCTGTTCTCCCCATGCCTGAATGTGTTTTCTCCTGTGTACTCTGGTTTCCTTCAACATTCCAAAAATATGCATGACAGGTTAATGGAACCCTCTAAATTGTCCCCAGGTGTGATTGTGAGCGCAGATGGTTGTTCGTCTATGTGTGCCCTGCGATTGGCTGGCAACCAGTTCAGGGTGTAGCCCGCCTATTGCCTGAAGACAGCTGGGATAGTTTCCAGCATGCAACCATCCACGCTCACAATCACACCTAGGGACTGGTTATTCCAGGGCTAGGTAACTCCAGTTCCTCGAGAGCCATATTCTGCCTGTTTTCAAGCTCTTCCTAATCCAACACATCTGATTCAATTGATCATGATCGTTTCAGGCTTCTCCCGAGTTTGGTGATGAACTGATCGTTGGTGTCGGGAGGGATCTAAAACAGGCAGGATATGGCTCTGAAGGAACCAGAGTTCCCTAGCCCTGGGTTATTCGATTCCCGTCAGTTATTTTAGTTTATTCATTTTTCTTTCAAAAGCTCCAAGGACATATTTGAGCATGTTGTGAATATGTGTAAGAGTTAATCTCCCCAAAATAAATGTTGACTTAAATCTGTTTCTTTTAATCTCAAATATAATACGTACATTAGTTATGACATTTGTATGGAAAATTGAAACCTGAAAATGATCCACTGGAGTACTGTAATATATATATCGGTATGTGTGTGTGTGTGTATGTATGTATGTATGTATGTATGTATGTATGTGAGAGCGAGAACAAAGCCAAGGCTCCGAAACGTTTTTCGCCGTGAAAGAAGCATGTAATTGCGCATTTTAGCCACCAAGAGGCATGCTACTACAAGCAGTCATTGATACCAATTTCACTTTCCTTCAATGGAAGTACAACACCTCCAAAGTTGCCACTGCCCTTGGAATAAAATACAAT